ATGGGTGGTGGGAGAAGTAGTGGCACTCTTTTTTTAAATCAAGAGTTATCCCTTTACCATGTCATTATCTCTCACATGCTTTCTGCATCTTTACACAATGCTGGTTCCAAATCAGGTGTGTTGGTTTACTAGGCATACTATTTGTGGTAGGGTTAGGTGGGAATAGCGTGGGGGAGATTCCTTTCTGTTAAATTATTGATTCTACTGTTGTCCAGGTGCTCTCCTTTGGGGGAGAATAAAATATCAAAAGCTTACCATGCAGCAACTGGAGGTTTAATTCAGTGACACAAACACCTGCCTGGCAAGTGCAAGGTCACGAGTTCGATCCCTAGTACCAAACAAAAAAAGCTTCTCATGCAGAAACCCAAATCTTTAGGGCCCCAGTGTCATGCAAAGGTCTTGTATAGAATGTTCAGAACATTACCAGCCTTCTTGGCAAGGTTAATTTGCTCACTAGACTTCTGTGCATACCCTTCCTCTGTGGGCAACTCTTTGTCCTGGGCTGTGGACTTTAGAATCACACCTGTGTTTCCAAGGCTATTAGTTGTTCTCATGGTCTAGTCTCCATTCTTAAGTCTGTCGTTTGTTAAAGAGAGCATTTATTCAACTGATAATAGGAAAATCACAATGGCCAGGGAATTTGAACAATTTCAACCAATGAATAAGTACAGATTTCTAAGCTCCTCACCAGACTTTATGAGTCAGATGTCGTGGTGCCGTGGTGTCCTCATCCATATTTGAAAATCTACCTCACTAAGTGATTCCGAAGGAGAAGCACTGGCTGGAATGTGGAGGGGGGGGGGGATGATAGAACGGGAACATCAGTATTCCAAGATCATGAACTTTTCAACTATAATTTATGTAGCATTTTGGATATTGAACTAAGGACCGTTGCACTGAGTTACATCCTCTAGCCCTTTTCAAAAAGCTTTTTGTTTATTTTGGAAGAAAGTCAGCTGGCCAGACTAAGCTGGAATTTCCAATCCTCCTACTTCAGCCTCACAAAGTGCTGGCATCACAGGTATGTGCCACCTCCCCCAGCGGGATTATAAATCTTTTACACAGGTTTCCTTTCATGTAGTGGTAATTTGGATCTTAGGGTAGAAAGAAATATAGAGCTCTGGAATGTATGCTCTGAAATAAAGGGGATATCCTGGATTTAGAAAGCACAGTTTCTTGTTCATGTGTATGTAGAAATTCCTCTTGGGCGGGTTCCGGTGAGATAATCCGCCTCTGCTAGGGTTGTCCCCAGTAAACCTGTAGAGCTAAAGATGAGACCAAATTTCGACACCCACACTCTGAGCAGCCACAAGGTGGAGCTCTGCTCCAAGGTGTTAGTTCTCAACGCATTTAACACAATCTGACTCCAGGGGATCAGGCTGGTACTATGGCCTGTTGCTGCCTCTGGCCCCTACTAGATTCAAATAGGGGATTAGATCCAAATTTAGGCGACTGCAGCACTTATAGTTTTGAACTATGCTGTTTCAGGTAACCTAAATTCAGAAATTATAAAGTTTTAAAGAAAAAGGGACCTGAGTTTGCATGACATTTACAGAAATTATTTTCAATTGTAGAGAATAAAAAAAATCTCACACATACATGAATAAAAGATAAACATGAAGTTCAATAAACTTTGTAAACAAAATACTTGCCCACGAAAAGACAGATGATCGCCTATATTCAAGGAGTTCCTGGGCTGGGCACTTTGTCCCTTTTTCCTCCTCCTCTTCCTCCTCCTCCTCTTCCTCCTCCTCCTCTTCTTCCTCCTGCTGCTCACTGTATGACGACTGTGACTTTTAAGGTAATCGGTGCATTCATTTTCTCTGTGGTCTTAGTGCATAACTATGTGTTCCTGAATGCAGTTTAATTTTGGTGATTTAAGGTTTTTATGTACAAACAGAACTGTGTTGGTTATACTGCTAGGATCTCAGCTGTCTCGCATAAAGCCTAATATTCATATATAAATGTAACTTTTAAACATTTATTGATGCATGATGATTTACGACTGCCACTTGCCCATTCTATGACTGATGAACTTACGTGGGGCTGCCGTGAGCAATTCTGCAACAAACATTTGTGAGCTTGTGTGCTATTGAACATGAATATGTACTCACAAGTGAAAACACTCACTTCACTATGGAGTTAGTGGGCACAGGAAACCCTTTCCAAAGGACAATCTGAAGACCTGAACATGATAATGCAGTAAAGAAAGCTTGCAATCCCAGCTACCAAGAAGGCAGAGTGGGAGGACTATAAGTTTGAGGAACACCAGGGGAAACCCTATCACAAAATTTAAAAATAAAATGACGGGATGTGTGCTTTGGTGGTAAAACATCCCTGAGTTCAATCCCCTGTACCACAAAAAATAAATGAGAGGATAATAAAGGAAGGAAGGAAGGAAGGAAGGAAGAAAACAAAATAATCAAGAGCACTGACAACATTGAAATACTGCCAAGTATGTGGAACATCCTCTTTGGTTGCCTGTGGGAACACAGAATAGTACAGTCACATCAAACTAAACATGCACACTCTTACCACAGAAACCCAGCGATTGTGCCTCTTGGTGCCTACCCAAAAGCACTGAAAATTTTTTTCCACATAAAAGCCTACATGTGCGTGTTTAAAGCAACTTTAGTCATCATTGCCAAAGCTTGGAACCCACCAAGAAATCCTTCAGTAGGTGAATTGATGAATGATGGATGCACTTCTAGACAATGGGAAATTATCCAGCACTACAAGCAGATGAGCTCTCGAGACATGGAAAGAAATGCCTATTGCTAAGTGGAAGAAGTTGATTGTAAAAAGCTTGCGTACTGTGTGACACCAAGTGTCTCTCATTCCAGAAAAGGCAACATTACGGAGCCAGTAAAACATGAGTGTTTGTCAGGGATTAGGCAGGAGGAAGGGATGAATTTCCAGGGCACAGAAGACTTTTAGGGCTGTGAAGGGATGGCTGATGATGCTGTAATTGTGGATACATCATTGTACATTTGTCTTGACTCTCAGAATGTATATATTCAGGAGTAAATCCTAATATAAGCTATAGGTTTGGGGTGAAAATGTGTTGCTGAAGATTTATCTATCAGTTGTGACAACTGAATCCCTTAGTGGTGGTGGTGTTAGAGTTTGTGAGTGCATGGGCAAAAGTGCATGGGGAATCTCCCTGTTCTCTGCCAAATTTGCTGTAAATTTAGAGGTCTAAAAAAATGAAGTCTGGGCCAGGTATATTGATCCGCACCTGTAATTTTGGTGCTCTCAGAGACTGAGGCAGGAGAATTCCAAATTCTAGCACAGCCTCAAAATAGACAGAGCTTTGGTAAATAGGAAAAAGATTCCTCTTGATGGAACAAAGTGTGGTGGGGAGGGCAGAAGGATATAAAAGGAATTAAGATGTGTCATGTAAATGTATCAACTACCCACAGCAAATGTATTTATTATGTAATACAAACATGTACTAATATGAGGATGATGATGATGATGATGATGATGAGACAGGCATTATATCTCAATGTGAAGGCCCTGAGCTCACTCCCCAGAACAAGAAAGAGTGACAGCAAGAAAGATGGATGGAAGGAAGGAAAGAAAGAAAAGAAGAAAGAGAATGAAGGGAAGAACGACCATTTTCGAGACAGAAATGTTGTGACATACAGGCTGATGTGATACTGTGCTCAAATCTTGAATTACTCAGAATTTGCTCATGTCTGCATAGAAGGATGGGTGGTGTTATGGTTTGTGTCTAGATGTCCTCCCAAAGCCTCACGCAGTTGTAGGCTTTTTCAGAGGCAGCTGAATCTAGAGTGTGCGAGTGATTTGTGGCCCAATATTAGAATTAAGAGTGCTGTGATTAAGGCTGGGTGATTCCGGGACCAGTCCACTCATTGGATTGGCACTGCCCTAATCCTGGTAGACTGGGTATAATATAAGGGGCAGAAAGAGGCTTGCATTGCTTTCTCTTGCTTGCTTTTGCTGTCTTCTGCCACCACGAACTGTGGCTCTGTGCCGTGCCACCCTGCCTCGGAGCCAGCTGATTACGGACTGAAACCCCCACAAACAGAGAGAGAGAGAGAGAGAGAGAGAGAGAGAGAGAGAGAGAGAGAGAGATCATGGGGAAATATATATATCAGACAATAATGCCATGAAGTGAGGAAACCGTTCTCCTTTGAAAACGTGAAGAACTTATTCTAGGGGTGAGGTGGGGGAAAGGAGAAGACATTATGAGAAAAGCAGGGGTGTGACGTACAGCCCCTGATGACAGGACTGCTTATTATTCAACTGCAGTCGTTTGTTTGCCAATTTATTAGGAAGTGTATTACACAGTGAAGATACATTCGTGTGTAGTTATTTGCAGAAAGCAAGGAAAAGGGCAGTGTTCTGTGATGGATGGGTTTATCTGAAAACAGCTAGCCCAAGTCCTTTATTTGAAGCAGGAAGTTGGAACCAGAAATATTCATGAAATTGTAAACCACATTCGAATTTATAGACTGTGTGCCTGAGGACAAGGGCTCATTAAACATGGCCTGCGACGTGTCATAAGGTTGGCAGATCATTTGAATTAGAGATTGTTAGGGTTTCTATCTAGAAGTCCCCCCAAAGCCCTATGTGCTCATAGAGGTGGGTTTGGGGAGGTGATTGGACCATGGGGGAGATGACTAGTCATCCAATCATCGATGAGTTTATAGCTAACTGTAATGTTGGAAGCTGGAGCCTGGTTGGTGGAGACAGGCCACTGGGGGCATGGCCTGGAAGATTCACCTCCCTCCCTCTTCCCTTGATCTCTTTCTGCTTCCCCACCCTACCTCACGAGCTGTTTCTCCTCTACCCTGCTCCCTGCACTGGAACCAGCCGACAGTGGACTGAAATCTCCACAAACTGTGAGCCAAAATAAACCTTTCCTTCTTAGAGCTGTGGGCGTTAGTTATTCTGTCTCAGGGAGAAGAAAATAACTGAGGCAAAAAATAAAGTTTGTCACTTGACACATCTGTGATACAATTTCATATTGATTCATTTATACAACAAATATTTATTTATTAATTCAATAATAAATTTTATTATTCATTAATTAAATAAATATAACAGTCTTTTACACATAGTGTTTATCAGTGAATGATACAGAGAAAAATTTCTGCCTTCAGAGAGCTTACATTCTCATTATTTGAAAGAAACTATCAACTTTCACATATAATTATTTCATTCCAATACATTAGAAAGTTTTTTGTAAAATTACTAAACTACTTAAAAATTAGTTTTCTTGAACTAAAAGAGAAACAAAACTAAATAATCAAGTGACTATCAAAGAAATTGAACCTTTCTCAGAAGGAAAACCTATGACCCTTCCAGCTTAACTGGTGACTTCTTCCAAACATTTAAGGAAGATGCAACACCAGAGTGGAAGTCAGGAAGATGCAATCAGAGAGCTCTTGACTCCTTTTAGGAACCTGTATAAGCTTGATGCAAAACAAGGACTTCAGAGGAAAATAAAGCAACAGAACCATCTTTATATAGATACATATAGATACATATGTGTTAAGCAAATCAAATGAGGCTGATTATAAAGTTAGGAAACGCACCAGAAAAATATCATAAATGAATGTGCTTCAATCTAACAGTGCAAGGATAGCTGATCATTCAAAAATTTAATTTAATTTATGGGTGGCTGGGGATTTAGCTCAGCGGCATAAGCGTCTGCCTTGCAAGCTGGCAGTCATGAGTTCGATCCCTGGTACCGATAAAAAGGAAAAAGACAAAAAAATTAATTTATGAACACATCCATAAAAGGATAAAAGTGATATAATGATCTTAGTATGAGTAGAGATGCACTTAATGAAATCAAAAAACCACTCATAATTTTAAGACACACACAAAAAAAATCATACTAGACTAGGGACACAAAGACACTTCCATAGTCTTATTTTTAAAAATTTGTGGAACTGGCTGAGTGTGGCAGTGCAGCTACTTCAAAGGCTGAGATATAAAGATTACAAGTTCAAAGCCAGCCTAAGCAAATTAGCCAAACAGTCTCAAAATAAAAAGGAGGTTTGTGGGGATGCACCTCAGTCTACCATGAATTTAACACAAGTGTCCCTCCTTCAAATCCAAGGACTCTGCACCAAAAATTTTACTTAATGTTGAAGTAAGGAGTCTTATATTAATTTATACTGTCTTATCTAAGACCTAAGACTCAACACCATTCATGTCTGGTATTCTTTTCCCAATTCTGCTTAGCTCAGACACAAGTTGGGGTAAAAGAGGGGCTACCAATACGAGCCTCAAGTCTGTTTCTTTCCCCTAAGTCAGGAGAGACAAGTATTTTTCTAGAGCAGTTAGTCAAGGGTGTGGCTCAAGGTGAGACAAAGCTGGAAGTCGGATCAGTGTAAGATGAGGGGCAAACCTGAGCCCCTTCAACACATGGCCATTAAATCGACCTTCTCCATGGTCTCACATTCATCAGCATGCACCTCCCCCTCATCCAAGTCAGTTACAAGCTCTGAACACCAGCAGAAAAGCTACACTATTGTCATATGGGCCAGAGTAAGATGAGGCAGTGTCACATTATGAGACCAGCACTAGACTCAAACTCGGGAGGTTCAAGTCTTAGCACAGACACCTCTGCACTGTCCTACAGCCCCAAGTTTCAGCTAGTATCTCTTCCCCTGTCCCTTCCCACTATGAGAGTCTTAGCACTACTGCCTGGTCAATATTTCAGTTAGTTTAGAGTTGCCTGGTTGCCTAGAGTTTATAGTTGAAAACAATCTTGAACACTCATTGGTACTATGTTGTAACACATTACAATCTTGATTCTGTGAAAGAAGAACTCAGCAAAGAACCCATACCTCTGCTTTCAACATGGTGCATTTCCCTGTCCCTGCTTGAAATCATCTTTGGGAGGCAAATAATTTGCATAGCATCGGGATTCTGTGTCATAGACAATATGAGAACAGTAAATTCTCTTAATATTTGTGGGACTCTCATTAGAGACCATGGACTCTATTGAGTGTTTACACCAGGGACAAGTTTGATCTACAACATCTCTCTATAGTGTTTGTTATTTTTAGTTTCTGGAAGAATAAATGGGTATTCAGAGAAGCTGTGAGGCCTGCTGAGCGTCACACAAATAGTGAACAGTGGAGGAATGCTTCAATTAGCACAGCCTGGAAGTAGCAACTACTGAAGATTTATTTATTTAATATCCATAATAATGTCCCAGGACAGCCACTGTCATGTCTCCTTTACCCAACAGAAACTACAGCTCCACATCTCCTTCAGTATCCTGTCCAGCGAGATTTGGAAAGCAGGTTAACCAATCCCAACACTACTGCTTTAGCAGCCTCTTTTGAAAGAGGTTTCCTCAGGGCTGCCTGGGTTTGACTGTGTCCTGATATGATTATTTTCTTCCTTCTTTCTCTTCTTAGCCTCTTCTCATCTTTCCTCCTTTAGTTGGGGCCTTCTATGGGACACCCATGTGAGATCCTGTAGAGATTTGTTGTGGGATTGTCTTGTGTGCTGCAGGGTATTTAAGAGGTCCTTGGGCCTCCATCCACTAGATACTGATAGCCACCTCCTTGCACTGATGATGATCAAAGTTTCTCTTAGGAAGCAAAATCACCTTCTGTTCAAATTCACTATTATTATGGAAAGACTACTGGGATTTCGAGTTGTATAAATGTGTATTTTAATCCCTTCTCTTAAACCTCCCTAGTGTGAGTTCTTAGCCAAGGTCCCTGAGCTCCAACTTGCCTCCTTGCAGAACGGATATGTTTTGTGGTGAAGACTAACTTCCAAGTAAGGCTTAAAGGAGAAAAGGCATGTAAATCTGCAGTCAACCTTGTGAGTTTCACAAACCCATGACATAGTCCTTTCCATTCTGTGCACTGTATCCCTGGGACTCACTGCTTGGCTGTGTGTTGTGATGCTGAAGGTCCATCAACAGCAACGCTCCTTACAGCAGTAGCTGCCTTTTATGAACGCTATCCACACTGGACAGCTGCCTTTACTGTACACAGCTCATCTCAGGGCCTCCCGCAGACCGCATGTGTTTACATGTGCAACGTGCTGAATAAAACTGTGATATTATAAATATTGAATAATTGAGTTATAATGAATGTAACCATTGCATTGGCGAGAAAATGGAGACAAACTGGTTACTCGAGTTGTGTCATGCTCCCACGTAGAAAGTAGCACCACTAAAATGTGACCTCCATCGCAGGCGGTCTGATTCTTCCAGACTTGTGCTCCTCACTCCATATTCCTCAAAAGATTCAGGTTTTTCTTTGCCGACCCTGCAAATAGTCAACAAGGCACTTAGAAGATGAGGTATTCAATGTCTCATTCACTGATTTTAAAATATGAGTATAACCAGAAAGCACATGAGAGGTGGAGTCAGGCTAACAAGACAGAGTTGCAAAACTGCAGGTCTACCCCGATTGCAAGATTACGGAGAGAGCCAGGCGCCACTGAGGTAACCGTGCTGACCACAATGACTGCTGTGGTGACAGACGGCCTCATGTCCATCAGTCATCCCTAAGTACAATATCCTCCTTTGGGACCAAAAGTCACCATACTGTGATACAAGAGGAAACCACAGGTCAGAAAGAGGAAATTACTTACCAACTGTCACAATGATGAAAGGGACCAAAGATTTCAATTTCAAGACTGTCAATTCCAAACGGAAACTCGACACTCCTTGTGAATTCACTCTATTTTTCAGCAGGTTCGAGTTCCCGTCTGCATGATAACTGTTTCAGTGGTTCTTTATTCCCCAGTCACCTCACTTCCTCCACTACTGTCACACTCAACTTAAACAGCTGACTGACATTTCAGTGAGAAAGTGGTAACAGGTTGATGTAAGATTTTAGCTTTCTCTCTCCAGACCTCCCCAACCTTCTTGTGTCGCTGCTGTGCTGAAGTGTTCTTGTACTTTCCAAAAACTGACCTTCACGTGTCTCTCCCACCTTCCCAAAAACCTGCCTCCTGCATTTTCCTTTTATTTTTTACAAAATAACACTCCAGATTTCCTTCAATCCCAGTGTCACGTGGACACTATAATATCCCTTGCTTTAAAAAGATGTGATCACTGGCCTACATTCCTTTCCCGTTTCAGCTCTATTTCTCTGACAAGGCTGCTTCCTGTGAGAAGAATGAGCAGGACTTTGGAAGGGGCCCCTCTAACTGTCCTCCCCACTTCTTGTCTCACATTTCCTCCTGTCTCATGCCACGTGGCCTTGGTCCTCAGCACTCCACCAAGTGCAGTCTCCTGGAGGACGTTTAATGACTCCACGCCACCAAATCCAGTGGCCCTTTCTCCCTTCTTGTCACGATTCCCATTGCCATAGGCTCCATCAGGCTTCTTTGCTGACACAAGTTTTCCTTTTGCATTGAGCAGATACTGTGCTCCCGTGACCATTTTTGTTATGTCCACAGCTCCATGGGTAATCTCTTTTCCAAGCATGACACCAATGTTTTGTCCTCCAAACTCAAGTCTAAATTTGGGAATTATGCATGTCCCTGTCCACTCATCCTCTAGAGTCTTTCCCACAAGTGATACTATCCAGTCTCATGGTTTAAAATATCTTAGTAATGATTTTTCATCAAAATTACCAGCTTTGGCATTGCCCCAGTGCCCTACTGTGACATGATCAACTGATTTCCCAGCATCTCACCATGAGAATTCAAGTGACACCCCAGACCTAACATTGACCAAACTAAGCTTTTATATGCCCCATCGCCCAAATTTTCATATGTCCCACTCTCCCAAAACTGTGTATTTTCAACTTACATGTTCAGTTGTCAAAGCTCCCCAAGTAGATCCTGTCTGTGATTTCTTTCCCTTTACCCTTCCAAGTCCATCCTAGCGCTATAGATCCCAAACACAAGAGAGGTAAGGACAGTGGAGCCGCAGCCAATCAATGAGAGGAAATGGAAAGTCCTTACACTTTCCTGAAGGTACTGAAGACGTGATAGCAGTAGGCTCTTAGAAACATCCAGGTCTGGATATTCCCCCAGCTCCAACCTTCTGTGGGAGACAGAGCATCCGTCCTGTGAATATCAGGGTCCAGGAATCAGGTGCCGGGCTCTATCTTCTTTGGAGAGCCAGGAATGTGGAGGAAACTTTAGGGAGGGGAGAACAGTTAGAAGCAAGCAACAGAAGAAAGATAACATCTAAGCAAAAATCCACTTGTCTAATTAAGCAATACTTCTGGCACCAAAGGTGTAGGGTTTTTCTCAACAAGCCATTTATCTGAACTTGATCTCAGCCCTACGCATGGGAATCACCTCTACTATGGAATAACTGCGTGTTCCATCCTAATCTCCTTTCCTATCACTGACAACATGGCAGTGGATTGGGACCCAGCCAAATACCCTAGCTTCAACTTAGTTGTACCTTTAAAGGTTCTGTGTGTCACCTTTTATAGTGCTGGGGATTAACACATGGTAGAATTCACACCATAACAGAGTTGCAGGAGAAAGTGAAGACAGAAAATGCTGGAGACCAATGGGAAAATGAACCTCCATGACAGCTGGACCTCAAGAGCAAAGCTAACTTAGAGATAGAGATTTGGAGATTGTTGGCTGAAGTGTGATTCAAACACTGAACATAGACAATCATGCAGAAAAAAACATAAGATAAAAGAGGGGTTATTTTCTAATTACTGTGATATAGACAATATTTATACCCAAGTGTTCATTTGAGTGAAATGCATCTATTATATGTTCTTCTGAGAGAGAGCCAGAGGAGGGGAGAGGGAGAGCGCTCTATAAATATTATTATTCTCAATACATAGATGAAGCAAGTGAGATTTTGCAGTTGAAATCAAGGACCGGATGCAGCCCTCTGTCTGTTTCTGTGTGGGCTTTACCAAAGAGACAAGCATGGATTTATAATTTCCTGGCACAAGTCAAAAAATACGATTTCACAACATAGCAGGATGTCAGGAAGCCCTACAGCGGAGTCCTCAGGTGGTGTTCTGGTGACCTGATCACGTGCACACTATCTGTGGTTGTGGGTGTGCTGTGGTACAGCACTTAGGGGTGACCTGCAGACTCTGCCCTGCTAAACAGGAAGTGTCTACTGCCCAGCGCTGTACAGAAAATGCTCCAGGAGGGGAAGGCAGGAGGACTGCCAGGAACTCGGGCCAGCCCCCAGGCTTGCTGTGTGGCAAGACCTTGCCTCAAAAAAAAAAAAAAAAAAAAAAAAAAAAAAAAAAAAAGGAGAAGAAAAGAGCAAAGAAAAAGAAAATCCTGCTGGATTCAGCCCACGCTTCACCCTCTCAGGCCCTTGCTGACCAGAGGCCATCGCAGAAGTCCAGCATCCAGCGGGGCAGAGGATTCCTACAGCAGCGGCTGGGACTCCCCTCTCTTAGCTCTGCCCCTCTGCCACTTCCCTTGGGCATTTCCGATGTTGGGCAACGGGGCTGCACACATGTGCAAGTCCACCCTGAGACTTCCTTTCTTTTCTGCACCCTGACAGCTTTGCCACACAGCCTTCCTCTGCGCATTTCTGCAGATGCTGGTGCATTAATCATGGGACATGTGGGAGCAAGAAAGAAAACCTGCTTGTTCTTTAACAAAGGGAGGAGACGATACCTCACACCCGGGGGCATCCAGCAAGCCCAGCCCCTGGGAAGGAAGGACTGACTTCTACAGACCTCAGAATTTGTCCAGCAGCATTCTCTGTGCAACCCCTTGTCCCTTTTTTTTCTCAACATCTGGATTGTCCCCATGCATAAAAATGCCCTCTGTCACTCACTTTATTTCTCCAATAGGACTTTGCCTTCCTTGTGACTCCTGGACACTCTCATTACCCCTCCTCGCTGGAAACCTTCTAAAATGCATGTGATATGGGTGACCACAAAGAAATTTTATAACATATAAATGTGGATATAACCCATTTGTGACTTAAAATCTTCAGTAATTTTCTCTTTCATCTTTATTCTCCTGTCTTGGGAGGCTATAGTATGGAGTCAGGAGCTATGACAGCTATCTTGCCATCATGAGGTATCACTCAGGAAGAAATCCACAGTACTAAGGATGTTAAAGTGGCAAGATTAAAATACACATAGTTCTTGATTTTACTATTCAGACAGGACTTAACCATTACTAATCACCTCAAAAATGCTCACAAAGTGTGCTAGAAATGACCTTGATGGTTTAAGTCATTGATAAGTATAAGTGTTTACTAGATAAAATTGATTCTATTTGGAACAAGGCATTGGTAATAATTTTTAGGACAACTGCCCTTACCTCTGTCTCTGAATCAGTCTTCATGTATTTATCCAAAATACTCTCCAATCTTAATTAAAATTTTCTGAAGACTGAAAACCTTGCTGGGCTAGAATCCTGTAAAACAGCTTGTACAATCTGGTGATCAGGGGACTGGTCTTGACCTTGGTGGCTGTGTGGAGAGTGCTTGGTCCCATACAGTTGTCTGACCTTCTCTTTCTCCTTTTCCTCTGTGTGTCTTGCTGGTTTGTGTCTCTTTCCTCTTCATCTATGCCTGTCATTTCTCACTATAGAATCTTCTCACCTCAACATTTCCCTGGTCTTTATCTTGACAGCTCAAAGGAGAAGGTCCTCAGCACCCAATCCACAAGTTTTGGTGCTGAGGGAGCTGAACCTCTGCTGAACCATAGAGAGGTTGGAGGTTGAACAAAACACTCAAGCACACCTCCTTCTGAAGCCACTCCCCCAGTGTCCGTGCATTCATGTGGTCATTGTGAACCACGGGGAGCTTTTGTTTCCTGCTTTGTCACTCAATCCGTCAGTTCCTTTAACTTTTCCCAGCCCCCTTGGTATATTATCTTCAGCTGCCCAAGAGCAGTCACTGTCTCCAGGAGATCACAACTCAGAAGCACAGCTGGAGAGGATCATCCAGGTGAGAGGCTGGAGTCTGGGCCCTGGGGAGTTTAACAGGGGTGAGCTCCACCGACCAGCAGGTGGGCTCCAGGAACACTCTGGAGTGAACTGCAGGGAAAGCAAGAGGGAAAAGTGAGTATAGAAAACCCACAGCATTCTCTCTGTGATGTTTTTCTGTGAAGGAAAGGACTTGTTTGGAAGCTAAAAATAATGTAAAATTGAAGACTAATTTTTTTAAGATGAAGAAGTTGTAGAACCTATTGATTGGGGTGCTGATGGGAATGCTGGAATAGAGAGCTGGCAGGGAAGCTTTTGAGCAAAGAGGATGGGCTAAGGTTTGGAGGCTGAGCGGAGTGTAGGTCTTGGCCAGGATACTCATTTGCTCGTCATGGAGGCCAAGCCACACAGCCGAGGACAGGGAACAGGCAGGCAGGGCGGTGGGCTGTCATGAAGTGGCTCCAGCTTTGAGGAGAAGGCTGATGGATGTGAGACTGGTTCTCACGGGCTCTGTGGGCACTATTTAGCTTTATCCACTGGAGAACTGCAAACTCAGGCCCCTTCCTCTCTGGAAGGCTGCTTTCTCTTGTCATTTGGTGTTGAGGACACTTAGTAGGTCTGAGCTCCTGGAAATCAGAAGTCAGCGAGAATGTGGTAAAGTGGTTGCTGGCCAGGAGAGTCTCAAAAAACGGCAGCCACCATGACTTGCTTTCATTCTGGGCCAATTTTTCTCTCCCAAATCCTGGTGGAGATATATTCCACAGCTTTCCTCTCTGACATGTCCTAAGCTGGTGTTGCAAAATCTTCCTTATTCACTGTATTTACATTCCCACCATGCCTCAGAGATTCTGGAGAATAGTCCTCAGCTGCAGTGGCAGGTGGAGGCAGGCCAGGGGACATTTCACGTTGTTTCTGAGATTGGAACACGGAGCCTCGGTAGGAATGTGAGCCACAGGGAAAATAAAAAATTGTCTAATAGGCACTTTAAGAAAGTGAAGGATAAACTAATGAAATGAATCTCACTCCCTTCTCTTATTAAATATTTACAGATGTGATAAACCCATATGATTATTTCAACAGGCGGTCAATGCCAAAATGGTTGAGATAGTGTACATTATTTCCTTCATGCATGCTACTTTCACACTAGGTCTTTCAATCTGAAGGGCATTCACTCTGACAGCCACATGTCAAGTGCACAAAGCCCCAGGGGATGAGCAGCACTGTATGGATGGTTCAACTGCAGAGTTGGTGACACACAGGGTAGGCTCAGAAACAGAACTTTGCTGGAGCTGCACTAAACTGTGAAGTGACTTCAAGCAATTAATTTAAATATTCTGCTTCCTGGGCTGCTCAAAGGGCAGGAAGAAAGGAACAGGGGGAAAGGGAAAGAGGAAGAGAAGGCAGGAAGTAGGAGGCAGGGAGGGGAAATACGAAAACCCCTAATGTTACTCAGTACGTACTGTGCCAACCTGTAACTCATTCCTGATGATGTTAACGCAGTGAAGCCCAAAAAAATTGAGGAAGCCCGCTGCAAAGATGAGAAAGGGGGATGACCCTTTGCACGAGTCTGGCCTATATTTGGCATGTTTTATCACACAAAATATCAGACCTAGCTCATGTGTCATGCTACTCTTAAATGTTCTGAGCCAATGAACTGGATAGCAAAGCACACCCATCCATCTGCTAAGATCACTGCAGAGAAGAAGGGCATTGTTGCCTCTATGACAGAAGTAAGGGACCTTTTATGACCCCTAAGAGCAGGAAGCAGCATCTGAGATGGGGAAATTTGGATGTTGTAGTTTTCGTGCAAAGAGTCGTGGGTGGAGGTTTGAGCTCATGACTCTGGTCACTGAAGCTTTCTACCACTAACTTCCTCGCACTCTTAGACCTTTGCTCCTTCTAAAGGTTGTGGCAAAATGTGCGTGACACAGGTTTCTTTCTCAGTGTGCAGTGCAGTGGCATTCAGTGCATTGAAAATGTTTTGCAACCACATCTAGAAAATCCATACCCATCAAGCAAAAATCCTTGTTCTTCCCCCAGACCTTGATACCCACCAGTCTGGATGTAGTGAAATCAGAACAGTATGTGGCACTCTGTGTTGGATTTTTCATATAATGTTTTCAATGTTCATCAGTAGCAAGTACCTGTGCTTTATTCATTTTAATGACTTCAAAATATTGGGAAATACCACATTTTCCGTTTTGGTTGATGGACAGCTAGGTTGCTCCCATTTTCTTTCTATTGTGAAGAGTGCTACTATCAATGCCTGTGTACAATTTTTGTTGGCCCACCTCTTTTCTCTGCACACCTGTTGCTCAATAGTTTCCCCTTGGAAGGCACGGATCTTCCTTAGACAGGTAATCTCCCAGCAAGTGCACGGTAGCAATTGCAGGAGCGTGCAGTACGCTGTTAGGCACAGGGGACTGAGGTGAGTTTGTTCTACCTGGTTAGTGTGTGCCTGGGGAAAGTGCTGGGTGCTGAGTAAAGACAGCGAGAAACTGCATGCAGGTCCTTAACTAAAACGTGCCAACTGCCAAACACTTTCAGGTGTGCAGAAGATGACAACCAACTCCTCTCTCCCCGTGAACGGGTCTGCGGGGACTCTGACTGTACCCACTAGCTACATCATCCTGGACGCCTTCTCTTACACCACATTTGCAGTCACCTTTGTCCTGGGCATGCTGGGCAATGGTCTTGTGATCTGGGTGGCTGGATTCCGCATGAAACGCACCGTCACCACCCTCTGTTACCTGAACTTGGCCTTCGCTGACTTCTCTTTCACCGCCACCCTACCTTTCCTCGCCATCCGGCAGGCCTGGGGAGGAGCCTGGCCTTTAGGTTGGTTCCTGTGCAAGTTCATCTTTACCATAGTGGACATAAACCTGTTTGGAAGCGTCTTCCTGATCGCTCTCATTGCCCTGGACCGCTGCATCTGTGTGCGGCATCCGGTGTGGGCCCAGAACCACCGCACTGTGAGTCTGGCCAAGAAGGTGATCGTGGTGGTGTGGATATGTGCGCTGCTCCTTACCTTGCAGGTTATCATTCGTGTGACTACAGTGACAGTTGCACCTGGAAAAGTAGCCTGCGCCTTTGACTTTTCGCCCTGGACCACAGACCCTCAAGAGAGGCTGAAAGTAGCTGTCGCCATACAGACCGTCCGAGGAATCCTCCGGTTCGTCATTGGCTTCAGCTTGCCCATGTCCACTGTTGCCATCTGCTATGGGCTCATTGCCAACAAGATGTACAAGCAAGGTCTGCTCCAATCCAGCCGTCCCTTGCGGGTCCTCTCTTTTGTCGTCATCGCCTTCCTTCTCTGCTGGTGCCCTTTTCAGGTGGTGGCTCTCATGGCCACCATCAATATCCGAGAAGTCTTGACAGGAATGCGTGAAGATCTTAAAATCGCGGCGATAGCCACAAGTTCCCTGGCCTACTTCAACAGCTGTCTCAACCCAATGCTGTATGTCTTCATGGGCCGGGACTTCCGAGAGAGACTGATCCACTCCCTGCCCGCCAGTCTGGAGAGGGCACTGACGGAGGACTCAGGCCAGACCAGCGATTTGCCAGCCAACTCTGCTACACCTTCTGCAGAGGTCCAGATACAGGCAACGTGAGGTGGGGGTCAGGGATGCTTCTGTGTTCCCAGATCCAGCTTCTTCTCATCTGGAGCTAAGCTGGACTGAAAGCATTCCCCACTCTGCTGAGCATTAGACACTCAACTTCTTTGTGCGCCCCCGCTTCGAAGAGAAGAAACAGACTTGAGGCTACTGTTGATGTCTTTGATTTGGGGATTTCAGGTTGGGGTGACAAAAGTGAGAAAAGATAGGGAGCTCATGCACCCCCATTCACTGTCAATGGTCCTGATCATAATAATTATGGGAGAGCATAATACAATGAATCCTATTAGTTCTTCCCAGGAAAATGAAGGTGAGAGAAACAGAAACTCTAATAAAAGAAGTACTTTCTCAATAGCTCAGCTTATATCAATAAGTAAGTGAAAACAGAACACCATAGAGATACCAGCCAAAGACCTCTAGTTCCTAAAATTGCCCAATCTGTAGCATTACAAAACTTGGAAACTCAATTATCCTCCCCATCACATTTCTGTTTTCACTTTTTACCTCCAAATGTGGCTGGCACAGAATTAATCCAGTACCTGGTGCTTGCTGTCCTTGTTTCCCGTGTGACCAACTCAGGGTACAACTCAGACATCTGCCTCAACTTCCTTATAAGCTACTTGCACAAGGTCCTTAAATATGGAACAGAGTTTGTGTGGAGTTAGGTAACGTGGAACATGTTCTGGTCAGTCACAGATCATGGGAAAGCATTCAGGTGAACTCCAGAAACCTTTGTTCCTAAACATTCATCTTCCTTCCCTATTCCTCCCCTCCAGGTTTTTTTTTCCTTTTGCAATTCAGAGACTCTGTCCCTTGCTATCCCTTGGTCTCCTTTTCTAACCAAGCCAAACATTTATGATAACACCAAAATGAATGCTGTGCCAGCTGTGAAGGAATCATTTAGACACCACAGCATTCTACCGTTATCAGCATAGAGAAAAGAAAGGAGAGCTGTGAGTAGGAGACGTTGGAGAAGAAGCCTAGGAGTGTCCAGCATCTGCAGATACCACATCATGTACTTTGGCGAAAGTTTGGATGATGGTGGGTGTTTTCTTCCCAGTCCCAGGGGAGATTCCTGAGTTTGATTACATGATGTGGCCTCAGGAATCAATCACTTCTCTGCGGTCCTGGATGGCCTTTCTGTGTATCCCCCAGCAAATGCCTCAGCCTTGCATTGCAGCATCCAATACATTTATTTAATGTCCCCAACCCTGGCTCTTCTGGAAGGCATCAACTGATCCTCACCTTCCTTCTACACACGAAAGCCTTCAATAAATGTTATTTTAACTAAATCTATTGCTCTGTGTCTCTTTTAGCAATACTCGGGTACTTGCAGATGCATTAACTCTGAATCGCCAGCTTCCTAAGATCAGCTGAGTTCTTCTTCTCTTGACTTGGGAGAAAACAAGAACAGGAACAGGATGTGATAAATGAAGGCCCACTATTGTTTAGGATTCACAGTTCTCATGAAACACTGCCCTCACTTCTGACACCAACTGCAAGTTTGGAAGGGTCTCCAAATGCCCTCGGTTCTCTAATTTGCTATAAAGACTCACAAAGAGAATAGAGCAAACGATCTGAACAAACGAGAGGGGAGAGTCGATGTAGTCCAAGATTACCAAGGCAAAGAAGCCACTTGGCTCCCCTAAGCACAAGGTGTACTCTCTGCAGCTGGCTTCCTTTAAATGCCCTTGTGTTCTTCTTCCAAAAAGTGGGTGAAACTCAGGCTAGCTTTATTGAGTTTCTGTCAATTAGCTGCAACTAAGGATCCTATCCTGAGATTCCCATGTTACATGTCAGAGGAGAGACAGGGTGGTGCCTGCAACCGAGGCTGACACAATGAAAGGCAGGAAAGAGGCATGCATGGGGGCAGGTATGATCCTCCACAGGACTGCCTGGGGCACCTCCTACTTTTGGTGACACAGCAAACAGAAAAGAAAGCAGACTATGAGGTAGGGTCAAGAGGAAGGTCAAATGATAGCCCTGTCCAGTCCCATATCCTGACAATTCCCAGATCACCTCTCAACAGTGGTATTGTGGAAAACAAGCACATCTAGGGGAGATGAGAAGAACGGGTGATCTCCCATCACACAATCTGCCCCGGAATCCTGACTTCTCTTCTCATGAGCTCTGTGACTTGAGGCAAATTGATTATTTGTTTTCAGCATAAATACTGGTCCCCTCAGGAAAGAGATGGCATAATGCATTAAAATTAATCAGATAAAAAGAGTTTAATCAGCAGGATGTGGTGGTGCACACCTGTAATCCCAGAGTTGAGGAGACTGAGGCAGGAGGGTTGTTATAAATTTGACACCAGCCAGGACTCCATGGTGAGTCCTAATCCAAACTGAACTACACACATCTTGATCCTGTCTCAAGAAAAAGAGAGAGAGACAAACAGATAGAGAGAGAGAGAGAAACAGAGACAGATAGACAGAGACAGAGACAGAAAGACAGAGAGGCAGAGAGGGAGATTAATGAAGATATAGGAGGGCTGACAATTGACGATGTGAATTAGTGATGCACCCAGGATATCAAGCACTGTAGCACATTAGTTTCCCATGGCTGCTGTACCAAATAACCACAAACCTGTTGGCTTAACACAGCACAAGTCTATTAGCTAAAAGTTTGTGGAAATCAGAAGCCTGAAATGAGACATATAGGGCTGAAATTACACACAAGCGGACCATGCTTCTTCTGGACTCTGGGGAGACTCTGTCTTCTTGCCCTTTCCAGGGCCCAGAGGCCGCCATCTTTCTTTGTTTTTTTCCTCTCTCTCCATCTTCAAAGCCAGCAACGCAGCATATGAAAACTCTCACACTCACCCACAGGGCCCCAGAGGGCTCACAGGGGTGACTGGAGATCATTACCCCCTCAAGCCCTTACCTTTTCCACAGTTGTGGAGTTTCTTTTAGCAGTGAGCCCACCCACAGCCTCCAGGGAGACTCTAGGGAGAAGAGTGGCCATCTTTTGGGAGATCCTTTCTCTGCCTACCACAGGTGCCTTCCATAAACCTACAGGGGCAGGGAAAGGAATGGTTTACAGAACCCAGAGAGAGAGATGGCATTAGGAGGAGCACCCCCAAAGCAGAGGAGGTCCACATGGGGCCAGGGGTGGAACAAGCAGAACTGAAAAAGCAGAGAATGGCTTAAAAGATACCTTGATTACAGCTACAATACTCTCTCCACCTTTCCCTCATTTATTTCTCTAAACTTCAACTAAGCATACAGTGAGATTTTTATACCTATTTCAAAGAGTGGTAATTGTAAAAAAAAAAAAAAAACACCAAGTAAACATTTAACATGGGTCTGGACATAGCACAGACTTAATAAATAATGGCTAGCTTTAATTAATTAGATAACAGAAGTCACTTTGGGTTCTAGGGGCTCTTCCCAGGTAGGAACACCTATGCCCAAAACTTCACTGCTTCTGCTAACAGCTCCCAGGTATCCGTGTCTGCCCCAGACCTCTCTATTTTTTGAGAACCAGATCCTTGCTAATGATGTCATTGAGGTATAATTTATAAGTCAGAAATGCATCTACTTTAAATTTGCAGCTAGTGATTTTTGGTGTGTTTATAGAGTCACACAGCTATCACAACAATCCAGTTTGCTCCATCACCTCCAAGAAATCCCTCACTGACAGTGCAGTCAACCCTTTCCCACCTCAGTGAGATTGCTCCAGGAAACTGAAAATCCACTTTCTGTTGCTGTGGATTTGATAATTCTGAACATTCTACATGAATGGTTTCTTATAAGGTATGGTCTTTTGAATCCCACCCCGTCTCTCTGTCTCTCTCTCTTTCTCTCTCTCTCTCTGTCTCTGTCTGTCTGTCTGTCTCTCTCTCTCTCTCTCTCTCTCTATATATATATAATCTTAATATATATAATCTTTTTGACACATATCCCTGTTATATTAGGTATGTTTTGCTTCTTTTCTTTGCTGAATTGTATTCCTATGTATGAATGTTCCATATTTATGTGTTCACAAGTTGAGCCTTAGACTTGTAAACTGACTGCCTCCTGGACGCTGACCCCCTCCCCAAGGACGTGCCTCCAAGACAACACAGAATTCACCGGTCCTTAGCCCATCCCACCCCAAATCCTTCCCCTCTGTCTCAGTGGAGTTTTCATTCACAGAGATGACCGAGTGATGATAGGAAAAGTCAATGCCATTGGACACAGAAATGGATTACTTACATTTCCTGGGCCACAGGGAAGCCCCAGATTTGGTGTGGAGGCAGAAAAGGAGTGAGAGCAAACCCAAGAGCAGAACACTTGAGATTTCCACGGGAATGTGAAGTGGGGCGAACAGAGTAAGACTGGCTAGTGTGAGTAGTTCCAGTAGCCTATGGGGTGGGGCGGGGGGTGATCTCCAGGCATCTGGTACCTGATCCTGGTGAGATGGTACAAGGAAACACCAATTTAATGTGTTAAAGTTCAAGGAAGGAAGTGGTTGTGAGATCTGGACTCAGAACTGGCTTCTGAAAGGGATGCTTTTAATGCATTATCTTTAGGAATGAGCCCTGAGAGAAATAGTCTCTCCCCGGACCTGCAAACCCCGAAATGTCAAACATACCAAAAGTTAAAGACATACTTAATACACTCTCAGCTTCCCCACCTTAGTCATGACTTTAACACGAAACATACAGCTCCTCTTCCATTCATCCTGGCCTTCCACATCCCATAGTAAACGGAGACACTGCCCACTCCTCCTGCCTCTGAACACAGTGGCCCGCTCACGTGGCCCGCTCCTCTGCCTCGCCATCCTCCCATGTCCCTTACCGTGGCACATGCCCTCTTGTGGCTCTTCCCCTGGAGCTACCCACGGGTCCTAACTCTGTGTGAGAGCTGCAGCAGACACTCCTGGTTTGTCTCCTGTAGTAGAATGCTGCAGAGAATCAGAACCTACTGGGTACATACACATCCTATGTAGAAACAGATTCGTTATAAGGAATTGGGCCGCATGATGCAGGAGAGGAGGCTGACAGGTTCCAAGCTACACACCGTAAGCTGGCAAACTGGAGACTCAGGAGAGCTGCTATTTACTCGCAGTCCAAGTCCAGACACCTGAGGACCAGGAGAGCTGGTGAAGAATCTCCACGGTGAGGCCTGCAAGTCCAAGACCCAGGAAGGACTGATGTTTGAGACTGAGTCTGAGTCTGAAAGCAAGAAAAACTCAGTGTCTCAGTTCGAAAGTGATCAGGCATGAGGAACTGGTGAGGGGTCAACCTTTTCCACCCAGGCCTCCAACTGATTGGATGAGAGTTATGCACACTAGAAAACTCAACCTGCTTTACTCAGCCTACCGATGAAAATGCTAATGTTGTTTTTTTTAAATGCTCTCACAGAAACTCCAGAGATAATGTGCAACCAAGTATCTGGTCACCCTGTGTTCCAGCGAAGTCAGCTCATGAAACTAGCCATCACATCCCCACAACAGCCATTGCCCACTCTGAAGAACTGACCAATGCAGATGTGAAGAGGTGGTGGTGCAGACTCCACAGGGACTGATGCTCAGGTGCTTGGTCCTCATTCTGGACTGGTCTCTGAGTACCTCTTCACCTGGCTACTCATCCATATTTTTATAATATCCTTTTATGATGATCCTGTTGTAGTAGTAAAGTGTTCTCCCAAGCTCCTAGGGATTCTAAGCAAATTGTCAAACTGAGGAAGGAGTCGCAAGGAGCCTGTGATTTGTAACCCAGAAATTCTCCATTTGCAACTGGCATGTGAACTGGAGGACAGGTTTTTGTGACCTGTGGGGGCAGTTCTGACGAGGGGTAGGTATCATCAGAATTGAATTAAATTGTCCTCGGTGCAGAATATGACAAGTCAGCCCCCAAAGTGCAGAGGGCCATGAGACATGGAACTTGTAGGTGAGGGAACTGGTGAATATCTGGAGATCCCAGGGACTCTAACCCACCCCATCTGCCAACACACAGGATGTTTAGAAATCAAGAGGAACCCCAGTTCCTGTTACTCAAGCATCCACAAGTTTACATCCTTTGATGGTTTCTTAGCTGTGTCCGACAATCTCGGAGGACTGAGACATATTCTCAATTGACCACAACTCAGAGAAAACCCAGGGAAATACCAAAATTGAAGTGGGAAGAAAATAGATTAGAGCTGAGAGAATTGCAGGGGTATTAGAAAGTCCCTGATTCCTGAGAATCCAAGGGCTCCAGCCCTCAGAGCCTCCATCTCCACATCTGTAAAGTGAGTATTGTAACAATCTTCCAACCTGGGGTTGGCTACACAATGCAAAGACCACTCTACAGAAGTGAGGAGAAATGAACCATCGCTGCCACTGCGGGACCAAGCATGGGTGGATGGCACAGACTTAAGGGAGAGTGAAAGACACCAGATGCAAATGACAATGCACTGTACTGTTTCATCCACAAGAATCTTAAAACTGGGGCAACCACCACATGCCAATGAGAGGTGGAGCAGTGTTTATTCTGGGAGATCGTGAAGACGCTCTCTTCTTGCTCCAGGTGCTGCTTACACGGCTGCACTGCCACTGTAAACAGTTATTGATTCATTCATGACGTGCACAGTGTTCTCGAATAAAATTTCTACTAATGGACAGACAGACAGAGTGACAGAGAACGAACAAAGGGAGAAAAGAAAGGAAAGAGACAGAAGGGAGAGAGAAAAGAGGAGGCAATACAGGGAGGGATAAAGGAGGAAGAAAGACGGGCCAGGAGCATTTTTGGGCACACAAGAGACATGGGTGAGTTTTACACTTCTACAGCTGAACAGATTGGGTAGGATGAGTTGGCGTAGGAGAAAAAAATCAATTCAGATCTTTCTCTCCCCCCACCACTATCATCTGCACATTCCCAGACCCCAAGTGGAGGCTCAGTGAGACACTGGCTCCATGGACGGCAGTGGCTGGATTCCAAGCACAGCTGTGCAGGTGACTGGACACATGTGGAAGGTGTGGCACCACTGATTAATCCCCTCTGTGATCGGTGGTATTCCCATGGGCTGGGGACAGCCTGGTCTCCCATACCTCAGAACAAGCAGAGGCCACAATTTCTAGGGTGCTGTCTCGTAGGAATCAAATGTTTCACTTCCTTATTCACAGATAGGGACACAGCCTCAGCGATGTGCTAAAATGGTCCTTCAGGTCCCAACAGACAGTGGTGCAAACCTCAGGAACTTTAGGACCCACGTTTAAAAGTTAAGTCTGATAAACTTCAATGAAGTAAGTGATTTTTAAAAAGAGGGGAATGGATTATTAAAATTCTCCACTTCCTGTGTTGTTATACTTTGATGAACAGATGAATCTCAACACACATCTTCACTGTTTTACTTACAGAGACAAAAATATCAATCTGCCCACAAGTAACAGCTACACTTGATCCATGGAATGAGCCACTTTTTAGCTAAACTGAAC